TTCTCATACAACTACACACACCCCTCATGCAAATACACACACACCCCTCATGCAACTACACACACACCCCTCATGCAACTACACACACACCCCTCATACAACTACACTCCCTCTGCCATTCTCACAGGAAGCTATGTGTTCCGATTGTCGTGCACGCGGTTGGGGCAGTGGGCGATTGGTTACGTCGATTCAAACGGCAACATCAAACAGACGATCCCACAACGCACCTCACTGTACCAGGCACTCATTGACGGCGCAGCCAAGGGCATGTATGTGGGTCAGGCGGTGGGGTGTATGCAACCCAGCCTATATAAAGGACACAATCTATTTATAGCACACTTTGTGTGTATGCACACGTGGTCTGCGAATTAGCCATTGTTCTCGTCGTCCAGTACAACACCTCAGACAACACCCCAGGTACAGTGTAACACCCCAGGTACAGTGTCTGGGGAGTGGCTTGCTTGCGTTGGTGTATGTGTGTTGCTGTGTGGCTGCAATGTACACAGTACTAACAGCCCCAGCATTCCTATACATGCGCGCCTGTCACACCATCCGGCACTTGATCAGTGTGTGCAACTTCTCTTGCGGCTGAGCTGTGCTCAAGGGTTTATGATACGCACATATGATACACCCCACACACACTCCCATTGTTTATATCTTATGATACACCCCCCACACACTCCGATTGTTTATATCTTATGATACACCCCCCACACTCTCCCATTGTTTATATCTTATGATATACCCCCCACACACTCCCATTGTTTATATCTTATGATACACCCCAAACGCACTCCCATTGTTTATATCTTATGATACACCCCCCACTCTGCCACAGTTATCTCTATCCCATGGGCCAGGAACAGAACGTCGATCTAACGGCTGAGTCGTCGCTGACACAGAAACGCCACATCTCGGTAGGTAGAATGTGGGCTAATGTATATGTATGTATTCATGCATGTACGTATATATATATGTATATATGTATATATGAATATATATATAGTGTTTGTGTAGTTGCCTGGTTGTACTGCGTTTCTCTGCATCACAGGTTGCGTACAGTGTCAGTGATGTGTGCTTGAATAAGTGTAGTGTGTCTGTTGCCTCATCTTTCTGTACATTGCAGGTGAAGTGCTCCGTGCCTGCCAGCGCCTGCCAATTGATACTTATTTTTGTATGCCACAACGAGTGTGCTTTTTAAGGTTTTAGGGTTTTAGAAACGCTAGTCAATCGGTTGTATCTCACATCAATGATGTTTCGCTTAATACCGTCACTGTAGTGCAGCGCTTCTGCCGCTGTGCATTGGTTCGTACACAGTGACAGAAACATATGCGACGTATTTATATGAATTCGTATGTACTGTTGCGTGCTTTAACATTTGCGACGTATTAATTCGTGTGTTTTATTGCGTGCTTCTGCATGTACACAGGTGAGCAAGGAACAACACGACATGTACGTTGGTATGGACAGTTTGTTTGAGCTGTGCAAAATCTGCACCGCCAATCCCAAGGACGTACAGATAGAACCCTGCGGACATCTGATCTGCCATTCTTGGTATGTGGGGACTCTCGTATCAGCCTACCATATACATATATATATATGTATATGTATATGTATATGTATATGTATACGTATATGTATATGTATATATATATATATATATATATATATATATATATATATATATATATATATATATATATATATATATATATATATAGTATATAGTAGTAGTAGTTAGTA